TCTTCCGATCTCCGTAGATCATCGTCTAAGTGAAAATTCAAAGTTGGATTATAAAATTACACAAAAACTTGAGCATATAATGCGAGAATGTAATATATTTGCTCAATCTTATCAAATGATGGGAGAGGAATTAAAGAAACAACGAGAAATAGAATCGGTATGTAGAGAATCAGAACTAGAATTACAATTATCTTTCACATTACGCCCTGGGATGGATCGACGTCGATATAATCCCCAAAGAACGAATGAGGTTGCTGCTGTATTTTATACAAGTGCTGATGGAGAAATTCCTGAATCTTTTGTTACAATACGAAATCGGAAAACTAAAATTTTGCAACAGGTTAGTACTATGGATCCAAATGTTGAACCATGGATATACCCTTTGTTTTATCCATATGGTACTCGAGGATGGCATCGTTATTTAACCAAAATAAATAGTAATAGGCGAGTAACTAGAGCACAATATATTAAATTTCGTATGGCTATTCGAGATGATTTTAATGTTTTTTTATTAGGTCGTCGCTTATATCAACAATAGTTGGTAGATAATTATGTAAAAATTGAAAAAGATAAATAGAATATTGTAAACTTCATCAAAAAGAATTACGTGTTGAAACATATCAGGGTTTAATAGATTATATGCAAAATACGGCTAATAATGTAAATGGACGTATCGGAAAAATAGTCGTACTTCCCTCGACACTTATTGGATCACCAAGAAATATGTTGCAAAATTACCAAGATGCAATGTCTATTGTTGGTAAATTTGGTAAACCAGATCTTTTTATTACCATGACGTGTAATCCGAAATGGCGCGAAATTGTTGAAAATTTATTGCCTGGTCAACAGTCATCAGATAGACCTGATATATGTGCTCGTGTTTTTAATATTAAGAAAGATTATTTAATTGATTTAATTGTTAGGCAAAAGTTTTTTGGTGAAGTTGCAGCATATGTTTATGTTATTGAATTTCAAAAACGTGGTTTGCCACATGTTCATATATTAATTACTTTAAAACATAATTTTAAAATAACAACAACAGAAGTTGTCGATAAATATATTTCTGCGGAAATTCCAGATCCATTTAAAAATCGTGTTTTACATAAAATAGTTATGAAACATATGATTCATGGACCTTGTGGTGATTGGTGTTTGATAAATGGAAAATGTTCGAAACATTACCCAAAATCATTTCTTGAAGAAACTAAAATAGATGAAGATGCTTATCCTTATTATCGTCGAAGAGATGTTGGTATAACTTATGAATGTTCTACAGGATAGTAGTCGATAATCGTCATATTGTTCCATATTGTCCTATATTATCGATTATATTTAATTGTCACCTTAACGTTGAAATTGTTTCAAGTATTAAATCAGTTAAATATCTATATAAGTATATTTACAAAGGACATGATGTTGCTGCAATAAGAATTGAACCAGTAACAGAAAAAAAATTAATTGATCATGATGAAATACGCGAATACATTGAAACTCGTTATGTTGGACCTGTAGAAGCCTGCTGGAGAATACTTAGTAAGAAACTGCAAGATAAAAGTCATGTTGTAATGCGTTTACCAGTCCATCTTCCTAATGAACAAAATGTAACACTAGATACTGAATCTGTAGAGGATGCAATGATTTCTGCCGTAAATCAAGTTACTATGTTAATAGACTATTTTGCTTTAAATTTACGAGATCTGGAAGCAAGAAATTATTTGTATATAGAAATACCACGATATTACACATTTAAAAAAGAAAAAATTAATGGTAAAATTGTTTCGCGTTGGGTTAAACGTAGTAATTATTTTAATTGTATAGGACGGATGTATTCAGTCAGTCCATCGCAAATAGAATTATTTCATTTACGATTATTATTATTGACTGTTAGGGGAGCTACAAGTTTTCAACAATTAAGAATCGTTAATGGTGAAATACTTCAATCTTTTTCAGCAACATGTTTAGCATTAGGTTTAATTGAGGATGATGAAGAATGGAATCGAGCCATGAATGAGGCTGCTAGATGGATGATGCCCAAGCAACTGCGTAGATTATTTGCGCGTATTCTAATACATTGTAATCCACTATATCCTGAAAAACTTTGGAATAACTTTAAAGAGGCTTTATCAGAGGATTAT